GTGGTTCACTAAACATTGTTTTCAAAATACAGAGAAAAAAAAAAAAAAAAAAAAAAAGTTAAAAAAAAAAAAAAAAAAAAAAAAAAAGAGAAGAAAGAAATACTTTCATCTCGGTTCGGTTTTGGCGATAGAATTTAACTTTTTAGATTATGAAATCTATTCACGCCCTGATCCTGTAGTTAACATTCTTTCCCTATAGTTAATTTGTATGTCCTGAAAAATCACTCGAAATTTTGAAAATAGTTTTTCCAAAAATAATTAATAATTTATTGGCATTTTGGTGAATCCAATTCAAAATCCTATTTTCTTGTGTTCTTGATTATGATCTTTAGTGGTCCCACAAAGATGTTGACTGATTCTTATAAAGTTTCCCTTACCTATTTTGTTGCAAGATTTCTTGGCATGTCTTGGGTGTATCCGCAGAAGCGTACCTCAAAAGGCAAAGCACTGCCAGTAGGCCAAACATGGTGACCTTTGATAGAATTGAAAAATTTTTGTAGAATAATTAAATAATATTTGGAAAAATATGTCTTTTTAATCTAGACAACTAAGATAACATAGAAAGGATTTTCATTTTACAAAGCACTATACCCCATTCGCACCTAAACGTGTTTAGTTAAACTATGTTTTCATTAGGGAAAAAATTGAGAAACTAGAAACCTACAAAATAATGAAACTTTCTAAAATATTATCAGAGCAAGACAAAGGATAGCTTACACACCTTATTTTACCAAAGATTGTGCAGTGTTCGTAGATAGTTTTCCAAACCTGTTTAGTTAARCCACTTTAAAACATGTTTAAGCCTTGGTGTGAATGGGGTTTAGTTTTAAAACTCATTTACTTTAGTTTGATGTTTATCTAGAATTCTGAAAAGAAGCATGAAAGTGTACATCAACCACGCAGTTAAAGTACATATAACCTTCTTTGTTTCAAAATACCTAATTCTTAAAATAAAAAGAACCCATTAACACTTAAACTAGCCCTATTCACTTTGTTTMAATATTGGCAAATTTTGAGCCATTTGAAAATGGAGCCCCTTTGTTCAATGTATTTCCATATCAATGTATCTGACAAGAACAAACAAAGACCTGTAACAATGAAGAAAAGACTCATATATCGTTGAAGATGAGACATTATTAAGTAGTCCAGTTGAATGGGTCCATTACGGTTTAAAACACCCCTATTTACACCGCGCAAAATAACGACTTACTGCTAAATAGGATAAGACTAAAGACCCTTTATTCTCAAGACGGCATTTGCATTCACGTTCGAAAATATTTCCAGGAAGTATGCTATTCACTAGAATTAAAAACACTTAGACAAACTGAACGGTTATTTTGATGCAAATCCAGACTTTTTTCTATATTTTTAAAAGCCTATATTTTTGCGTAGAAAATTCTATTCAAATAGTCTCTTTTATAGCCGTAAAAAATTATAGTCATCGCAGAACCGAAAACAACCTCTTGGCTGATATAGAACGTTTAACTAGGTATATCTTGAATTGAAGACTCTTAAAGGATAAGCAAGTAAGGACATTAAAAGCCAATTTTTGTTTAGTATTATAGTAGATTAGTAAGATTCATAAAAATTCTGGATTACATATGGAAAATATCTAATAACTTAGATTTTTTGTAGTAAAATTACAATTCTAGATAAATGGCATGTCTAGCAGATCTAAGGACAAAGTTTCCACAGAAGTTGATTTTGAAACGGAAATGATTATATATAAATAAACTATTTTAAAAAGATACCAGCTTCGAAAATACTATTAATATAAACTTCAAGTGATACACCAAAACACGAGATACCAGGAATACTTGTTCATTATCTTTCTCTAAGCATTATCGAGTACTCTAATTTGATCTGGCTCTGAAACGACCAACCTCTGGTCTGATCAAAGTCAGGACACAGTTTATTCACAAATATAATTGGAATTTTTAGCTTGTTAGGTTTTGCTGAGGGACGAAAACTGGAGAAACTTGAGAAAAACCCTGGAAGGGAGAAACCTTACCTCCTAGCCTTGAGTAGCTGATTCGTATTGCCCTTCGGTCTTGCGGCAACAGGACGGTTCTTGATGTGCTTTCTTTCCTAGAAGTAATAACTCTTCATCTGTTTATCAATGCTCTTTTATATCATTTTCGTACAATAGTGACAATTGCGTAGTTTCTTTCACGTCGTAATGTCAATCAGTGACATTACTTGTTGTGTGGTTGTAGGCGTTGTCTTCATTAAACACTTATAGAATAATAAACATTAGGAGGGAAAAAGTAAAATTTTTTGTACTATTTATCATCTATATTTTCAGTTATCTTGTCTACCTTGCTTTAATTTACACTTGCATTATAATAAAATGTGGATACAATTGGTGAAGAAATTTGACTGTTAGCTGCAACAATCCACTTTTACGTAACTAAAAAAACTGCGCTTATTATACGTATCTATATTTTAAAAACTCTTRCGAATATCGAGTAGTCCCGAGGGACAACTCCATATTGGAAATATTTGCAAGCTTTTTGGTATTTCAAATTCAAGTTGGCTTTTTTGTCGACTGTGTTAAGCTAGTCTTCATTTTATTCTCACTTTTATCTATCTAATCTATTGTAATGCAAAATCCCAACGAGAGTTTAATTGACTCTTAGAACAAAGAAAGTGTAAGGACTGCATCGCGTGTTTGCTTTGCTGTCGACGAAAAAAAATCAAAGTTCACAATCAATAGAAAAACGTTTTTTCTCTACCATAATCTTCAAAAAACACCAATAAGTAGGGTATTACAAAGATATTTTAAAAATACTACAGGACATGTGTTTTTTTGTGCGTGTGTTTGTGTGTTTCTTTGCCTTAAGAGTGTCATAAGGTAATTTTTTTTGGATTATTTTCTTTATTGCATTTAGGTCACTCGAAATATTGATTCGGGTTTTCTTCCCAGTATTTCTCTTTCCGCAAAACGTAACTCGCTAAATTCCAATTCCATGTGTGAGTTAGCCATGCCCTGACATTAGATCAGCCCAGAGGTTGTTTCAGGGTTCGATCTGTGAGTTAGCCCTGCCCTGACTTTAATCAGCCCAGAGGTTGTTTCAGGGTTCAATCTGTGAGT